TCAAAGCCAAGATAGTCTAAAATATTTCTCACCTTTAGTTGGCAGTCTTATACCCTTATCAGGTATTAAAAAACAAAATTCAGGTCTGGACACATATTGTATTATTCAATGTAGATTGGGTATCTATTATGTAAGAGCTCATCTTTGGATTCCCCAGGTTGGATTTTAAAGTTGTCCTTCTCCATGTTGGCTAATTTTTAGCTGAGAAAACTTCTGAACTAAAACCATGGTTGGTGTAGCTAAACTGCCATTCAGTTAACACTGGCAAGTAGGTTTTCCGTAGAAGTTTGACAGCCAAGGTCTTGCAAGCAAATAGTTTACAACCTCTCTGGGTCATTGGAATCAGAGTGTCTCTGTTTTTTACTCCACAACAAATTTACACATACAGTATCTTCCTTAGAGGAGTGATTTTTAATTTGAGGTCTCAATATAAGCCTTCTAAAATAATTAGGTAAAAATTAAAAAGCTTCTTAGCTCTTCCCAAGTCTACTCTTGAAAAGGGCTGCCATATCTAGAGCTAGTAGGTTAGCATCCAGTGATTTTATTGAGATATTCTCATTGCAAAAAGTTTACTGAAGCTATTCTAAAGCTAAAAAGAAAGGAAAGAGGACAGAATGGATGCTCACACTGTAAGTTAAAATTTGTAGTTACTGTGTTTTTGTGAATGTGATTTGTTTTCACCCAGGGTATATCTGAGTTCATACAATAATATTCTGACTACTGATGGCATCTGTGAGTTGTATTTAAGTCACTCCCTACTGTTGTTCCTCTCCAATTTCAGAGCTAATTCATCATTGGGTACAGATGGCTCAGCATACAGTAAAGTTTGATGTCAGACATTCTCTTTGTATCATCAACAATCATGTCACCCTTTAATAACATTTCTCCCTGCAGATGTTCACTCTGGCATTTACAAACACTATTAGAATGGGCAGTTCCAAACTGCTGTTTTCTAAACACAAAGGACACATATTCCCCATGGATGGTGAAGTTTGAGAGTCAGCCACACTGGAAGAATTTGACATGTATAGAAATAGTCTCTTCCCTTTATAAAATTATTTTTACTTCTTCAAATAATTCAAAAAATGTTAGAAACCATAAATTTTCTAATCAGTGCACGCTTAAGCATAGTAAATTTTATCCTCAAAGATAAACTGTTGAGTTATGAATAATGAGAGGTATAGGATAATAAATTATTATTGAGAATTTTGTAATGTAAATATCAATATATAAGGGCCTGGGGAAAAATACGTACCAAAATACACAGTATCAACAAATGTTCACTGGAACTCATAATAAAACAGTTTGTCCTATGCATTTATATTTAGGAAAAAATAAATGGAATGAAACTATAAAGTAGAAAGTATAATTAATAGTAACTATGAATAAATATAGACTGTTACAAAGTCTTTAGTATAAACTTTGAATGAAATATGGAGTTTCTGTGTGCAGGACCTGATTCGATTTTGGAGGGTTTTAATGCGAGAGTCTCAAAGGAAAATGATAAGGGCTGTGCCAAATTGCTCTATCTTTTTGGTATACATGCTGGGCTTGGGGAAATTCTAAGGTTTTAATGATAGTTTTGGTGATTAAAAAACCAGGAAAAACTTGTAGAATTCACAAAGCAAGAGATTGTTGAAATAGATCTGAGCCTAAGTCCTGTCACTAACCAGCTGGGTCCTTGATAGGGGAACAGCTTTCCCTCCTGGGCCTCGATCATTCAAATAAGTAAGCTGATTATAGTAGAGATATATAATGCTTTATTTAGGCCTAATATTACCTTTGGTATTTAACTAATTATTAATAAAGAAAAGGGGAACAAAAGGAATGAGACATTGAGTTTAATAAACTGGGGAACGGAAGCCTGTTTGCTTCTCTAGAAAGCTACCACTTCACACCCCAGGAGACTGCAGCATGGCACCACCAAGGGGAGTAACATTGCTCCCTTCATCCCCTCTGGTACTGGATTGTTGTTGGTGGAGGGGAAGGGGCAAAGTGGGGAGGCCTTGACCAAAGAGGCCTGTCAGTCTAATTAGGGGGTGGGCCTATCAAAAACCCAAGAAAGCTTGGGACACCGATTAGTTCTCTTGAAAAAGCACATGGTTTGTCCCAAGCCCAAGCTAATATTATCCCAGGGAAACAAAGAAATGCACTCTCTCTCCCAGCCGCTTGGGACTATGTGGGTCTAGCAGCTACTGGGGCCCACAACAGATGCTACAGGCTCCATGAGAACTAAGCTTTAATATGAAGCAGAAACTCATGACACTGGTTTCTGCTTTGGTCTTGCTGAGAACAAGGTTAGATTTTTTCCACAGTGGGATGAACAGAGCTGGGAAAATGGAAACCCAGGTGCAGCTTTTATTTCTACCCAAATAAACCACGTCACACCCCAATCTCCCATGCATGGGTCCTTGAATGCTTTCATTGTGATCCTGTGGAAGAGCCTAATTTCCACTGACAATGTTTGGCAGGCAAGCCAGCCAGGAGGAGGGAGAAGACGCGGACATGGATCCTGGTGAAGAGCAGCCTGGGCCATGCCCTTTCCCCCGTTCTTCCCTCACTTCCTCCCCCACAGACACACATCTCCTAAACTGAAAGGGACCTTGAGACTTGCAATCACAAGAGTCGTGGGCAGCAGTAGCTAGTCCCAGGCTAACCCCCTGAATCTGTCCCCAAAGCCCCCTTGTCTCTGACTTCCCAGTGAGCTCAGGCAGCCAAGCCTAGGCACTCCTGTTGCTTCTTCTATACCAAGCCCTTCTTTCACTGTTCCCAGCTTTAACAAACATACCCTCAGAACCACCTGGACTTGTGTTATGACATCCTTCCCACATGAAGTCAGGAACCCACACACTACCATCCAGCCCTAGGCTGATGCACTCAGGGCCAGGTACCCTGTCTGCTAACACTAACATTCTACAATTCCAACATAAATAGAATACTGAAAATGCAACTGTAAGCGATAACAAGATTTTAGTTGGGGGCAAAACTGTAGTTTATCTGTAACCCAGCATTTGAATGTAGTGTGCATATATGTGTATAGGTGTAAAAGTATCATTATTTTTTAACTTTCCTGTCCAATTTTGCTTCAATGATTTAAACATAACTCAACATGAGTTACCTATCATCTGTAGTGTTTATTAAATTCTTGGCCAACTCCATTATGTGCAGATTTCAACATTATTGAGAAAATTGAGATCATTATTGCTCTTAATTTCTCACTTCCTCCACCTCAAATTTATCTATGCACTCATGCACCCCTCACCATTTTCCCTACAATTTGACCCACCTTCTTTAAGGTCAACTACACTATAAAGGCTATAAAGCTACACTCTTAATCCTATCCTCTAACAATTTTCTCTTTCTTATTTCTTCATTCTCTCATAAGTGCCTCTCTCCTCTCAGTCTTGAAACATGGTTCCATGTTCTTCATTAATAGCATAAAGTAGAACAATAAAAGAATTTCTCAGATACGTCTCTCTGGAAAGACTATCTATGCTTTTTTTTTTTTGCCCCCATTCCTCCTCAAGCCACTTCTTCAGTTCCTGCTCTCCTGTCAACTGAAATTAACTCTAGGTGAAGTGATTGCTAATGGCCATCTCTCAATTACCAGATCTAGTGAAAATTAGGCATCTTCTCAAACCTTCTGTAACTCTGGGACCATTTCCTCCAGAAACTTCATCTCCCCAACCTTTAGAGACAGGAGCTCTCTACAAAAGTAATCCATTCAGGTTACCATTGAGTCCACACTGGCCCAAGCCTTCACCATTCACTGAAGAGTAATTATTAATTCTCTGGCAACTGCATAGCAATATAAGCAAACCAGGCCAGTCACTCCTGCCATCCTCAGTCTTTCCCGAGATGTGAGGCCCCTGGTCATTCTTCCTGTGGTATCAACTTCCACCACACTGTCCATCTTCCTGTGTGACTCACGGTCCCACTTTCCCTCCATCCCAGACTTCCACCTTGACTTCTTGATTACCCACTATCCTTCCATGGTTGCCAAAATACTGTTCAGTTTCCACCTGTTCTCTGAAAATTCTCTGACTTAATTGAAATCTAACTACCCACTAAGACATCTGCTTCTCCTGTAGTCCTCTCATTTGAAGCTGTTCCTTCTCACCTATACCATGCATGTCTGGGTTTGGAGGGGCTCAACTTCCTCCTTAGTTGTCCTTTCCACTTTCGAGTGCATTGCTCCTCCACCCTCATATAGAATCCCTCCTCCTTCCCAGCTCATGCCATCCTGCCACACTTCCCTCTGCTCCTTCTGCTCCTTCCCCTCTGCTACCTGTGCCTGCATGGCACTAGCTACATAAAGGCTCTGGCATGTAGCTTATGTATTTCCTCCTAATCTACCCCAACTTCATCTTATCACCCTTGTTTTCAAAGGTACTTCACTCAGGAAACCTTTGTTCCAAGGGAAATGAGACACACATGCAGAAAACCTGGACCTAAAGTGTAGGTTGGAGCCAAGCTCAAGCAGACACTTCTGAGATCGGCCAACCCCAGCGTACATGAAGATACATGGTCAAGAAATAAATGTTTACTGTTTCATTGTGCAGCAAAGTTGCAACAGTGGCTCACTGATACAGTGAGATTCAAATTGGATCCTCTTCCTCACCAAGTTTAATTTAAAAAAAAACCCACAACAACTCAAGGCTTTATTTCCTAAATATTGAATATTTCTTATTTTTCTTTCCATTCCCATTGCTACCCATTAAATTTATGCCTACATGATCTTTTACCTGGACTATTGCAGTGGTCTTAACTATTTTCCTTGCTTTCTGTTAGTCTGTTTGTTTTCTGTTCAGTTGGGAGGAGTTCCCTAAGATTTAAGATCTCCCTACTTGCTCCTTGTTAGTCTGTTTTCCTGACACAATGAATTGCTTCTAGTTTCTTGAACATACCACGATGTTCTGTGTTTTTATAACTTTCCATATGCCTGAAATGTGTTAGCTCACTGACCTTTTCTATTTCTCGAACTTTTATTTACCTTTCAGATCCTGCTGTGGAAGCACTTCCTTTCCGAAACATGACAGCCGATCCCCAGTCCCAGTCCGAACGAAGCCAGCCATACATCTGCTGCGAGACTTCTGCACTGCGCTCTTTAATACGAATGTGCCAAATACTTAACTAGGTATTTATGTCTTTCTCCTCTACTGCTTTTATAAACATTGTTTTCCTAAAGCGGATGGCATATTTTACGTCATTTTGTATCTCCAGCATTTAATGCAGTACCTGTCACAGAATGGACATTTAATAAATGTGAGTGGAACAGAAATAACTAATTTTGAAATTTGATTTGTAAGAAATTGTAGACTCTATTCACTTATAAAATCCAGAGAGGCACACATCTTTACCATATTTAAATAGTGAAGAATCTTATCTCATTTCTAAAAAGACCGACATTTTTCTAACTCAACTTGACTCATTGAATTTTAGAGAGTAGAGTACAGTAATCTTTGCAACATGGGAAATGCCAGGGTCGCTTCATAATCAAGTTTGCATGGGAGAATCCAAGACATATTGCTAATTTTTTAATGAAAACTTCCTGAACCCCATGGAAATCTAAAGCAAAGCTGGAATATATGAGAAATGTGTACATTTCTTGTGTGTTCCAATTACAAAATCTATCAAAGTACTCAGCTGAGATATTTGTCCAAACAGATAACCATGCAGTATTGCCTTAACCAATTGCTAAGGAAAGAAACAGAGTTCAATTCTACTGACTTGAACTAACCCCACTAACCCACTAACTCCAAGGTTTTATTTCCTCATCAGCAATAATAAAACATGACAAAAAAACAGCAATCCAATCAGAAGACTCAAATATGAAAAATGACCATGGTGTTGTTCCAAAATTTAAATGCACACTTAGATATTCTATAAAAATATGGAATACTAAGACTCAACAAAATTTATGAAATGTCACTTAATAACTCATTGCTCCTGTATTAAAGTGACCACCCAATCACCTTATGTTTTAAAGAGCTCTATTCTTTTGCAATGATCCAGAGATTCCTTTGGCCACATTTGAACATTTTAGATTTGAAGTTTACACACAATGCATTTAGTACAGAATGTAGGGTCTGCCATGTTAGCAACCTGAACACTACACTCTCAATCTCAGCTATAAAGATATACATCACATGTACTTCTGCTATAATTTATACATAATACATGCACATCACATGCACATTTTCTGTCATACATCTCTTAATGTGCCCCATACATTCATACACATATACATGTGCATACATGCATGCAGGGAAATAAAGGTAAGGATGGTCAGATGTCCCTTTCTGGCTCACTGAAGTAGGTAATAGCTTGCTAAAGAAATTATACCTACTGTGTTCCTTGAGGTTGAGGTTACAAGAGGTAAATAAGGATTTATGGACTATCTTAATGTGTGTACCATGCCTCCCAACTAGAACTTTGTCTTGCTCTTATATTCTTTTCAGTTACTGGGACTGTGAGGTATTAGGCACATGTTGGTGGAAAATGAAATGTCCAAAAGCATGTCTATCTTGGTTCATATCCTAAACCCACTAGTTAACAGCTGAGAGACCAAGTCCTTGAATGACCTGAGCTTCAGTTTCTTCATCAATAAAATGTGTTAAGATATCAACAGACTTAGTGGCTGCAAGTTACCTCACACGAAGATAATCCCCCTAGATCATTAATAAGTATTTGCTCATTAATTGATAAACTTGTCTCAGAAAAGGTCTGGAGTTACTGCCAACCATTACTTTTACAGACTTGCCTGCTTTACAGCTCTACAGACAGGTGTTTGAGAATATAAGAAATTAAAATAGAAATAGGAAAGCTTTTTAGTCCATTTTGCTAATTAATGTGTCAGAGCTCATAAAGAAGAAGTCATCAGCTTTCTTTAGTACTGCATCATCTGAAAGAGCTGGGTCAGCAGAGATCTTTGCAGACAGTCAATACATATTAAAACAGCTCCCAGCAGTAAATCAAAACAACAAAAAATGAAGACATAGTAAAAAAGGTGAAATTTATAAGTCCTTTCTGTCTGAATGCTGAGGAGCATAAAACTACTGGTGTAGGTGTCAATTCAGTATGCAAAAAAAAAAAAAAAAGAAATGCTACTTCTCGGACATATTATATGAGCTGTATAGTCAAAGTTAAAGCATTTCTTTAAAGCTATGCCAAATTCGATGCCATTTTCTCTGGATTCTAATGTCCCCTTATAATATGTAATATAAACAAATAATTATTGGCTTTACTATTTAAAATATAATTTAAAATATGTATTTTAAAAATATATATTATTTAAAATATGTATTGTTTCATTGTTTAAAATTTATATAAATATACTAAAATATATATTGTTTAAAATGCATATATATATTTGACTATATGTAAGATTTGAATATAAATATGTGTGTATATACATCCTACATATGTTTTACATATAGGATATGCATATCCTACATATATATCCTACACATATATACACAGAATTATTCATTGCAAAGATTTGAATTTTGTTATAATTCAATTAGTGAGACAGGTAGGGAAAGAGATAATAGACACCTTAATGGTTTTTCAAGGCTCTCTGAAACTTGTGAGTTTTCTTTAAAAAACCAAATGAAAGGCAAACATTTGCTTCTTACTTCTCTGGGTAGGTCTCTCCATTCTGTAGACACCTTTTGTACACAGAGGAGGACCCTGCAGTTATAAGAAGGAGAACATCCTGCTTTCTTTCTTGCCAAGGTATGAATATACTGTGCTCCAGGGGAAGGAAGCACCTGAGGGAGGGCACAAGAGGAGTCTTCAGAATATGTGGATTGATTCCAGAAGGGGTGAGGGAACACTACCTTTGAGACCAAAAATGTTAGAAAAATTATCTTACCTGAGCCTTTGATTTGATCTGAATTCTGAGAAATCAGCTATTTAAAAATTAAGCCAAGGAAAGGATGCCAAAAACACTGTCACAAATTTGGGAGGTATCCAAGCCAGACCAACAGATGGAAATTGGCACAGAATGGCCCTCTACACATTAAGTAGCTGATGCAGAAGAAATTTTAACTCAGATGAATTTATTAAAATCTTGCATATCATTCCGAGTAAGAGGATGGGTTGATAGATTCAGGTCATCATATACTATTTAATTTAACTTTTTGATGGTCTTAGATTGTGTGGAAACTGTCCACATTTCCACAATTAAAAATAGACAGAGGGAGATATTCTTTCTTCTTAGCAAAAGAGAAATCACTTTTGTTTTTAAGCTTAAATATTGTGAAGAAAGGATTTGGGGAAGGGAAAGGTGAAACAAAGTTTAATGACTCATTTTGACATTGGTAAGTATACATTACAATTCAAACTCATAACCAGTGGAGTGGTCACACACTATAGCAGACTGAGAGTATATTAGGTTAGTTTTTTAAATGACTTTGTCAGTAAAAGAGGTTGCCAGTATTGAAGAACCCTTAATCCTCTTTCACCACCACCACCAAAGCCTATGAGAAATTGCTGAACAAAAGTGCAGAACACAGCCCTGGCTGGTGTGGCTCAGTGGATTGAGTGCTGACCTGTGAACCAAACTGTCACCAGTTCCATTCTCAGTCAGGGCACATGCCTGGGTTGTGGGCCAGGACCATGGTGGGTGCTGTGCAAGAAGCAACCACACATTGATGATTCTCTCCCTCTCTTTCTCCCACCTTTCCCCTCTAAATAAAAAATAAATAAATAAATAAAAAATAAAATAAAATCTAAAAAAAAACCTTAAAAAAATGCAGAACACAGGAGGGGGTTACCTTTTAAGTGAGAGACAAGTTTTTGAGAATCATTACAGTTTCCAAAGAAACAAATATAGAGCATGGGGAAGGGTATATTCTTGAGTATATAAACTTACAATGTTAGTAGCATATTTTTCTTCAATGCTGCTCTGAATTTTCTCAAAACTGCTAGTAAGGTTTTACAGAGTGCTTTTGATTTAACTCTAAAGTATATAATTTTAGGGAACTGTTTAGCGCTCTTCACTGTGTTTTATCATATGCCACTTTTGCTTCAAAGTTATCAAGTTTTTGGTTGTTTTTCAGCATTTGCTCTGGTTCCATAGACAGCCAATCAAAAACTCAAATGATGCCATGATAGGATATAAAATTACTTAAAAATATAACGATAGACTTCTGGCCAAGATGGAGGCGTAGGTGGAAACACTGTGCCTCCTCGTACAACCAAGTTTAAAGATGACAAAGTTTCAGTAATAAAAACGCAGCCAGAACACATAAAATTGAACTGTATGGAAGTCCAATAACAACGAACCACTCAGCCAGATTGGTAAGAGGGCCAGAGTCAGCAGCGGAGCAGGGGCGAGCAGGAAAGATTGGCCAGACTGACCTGGAAATGCAAGCGGTGGTTGGTGGATCCCAGGAGTGGAGTGGTAACAGGCGGACCCAGTGAGGGCTCAAGGCAGCTGGCTGACTGCAGTCACACATTTGTGCACAGATACACCAAGTGAAGGAGCAAGCAGTGAGACAGACCACTCAGGCTAGGGCCCCAGCGACGGGAATTAAAGCCTAAAAGTACCAACTGGAAAGACTGTTGGGGTTGAGGTGCCAGGAGAGGCTCCCAGGCTCACAGATAGTTTGTTGGAGAGACCCACAGGGTCCTGGAGGGTGCATAGGCCCACATACCCGGAAGCCAGCACCAGGGGGGCCGGGTTTGCTTGCGGGAAGCAGAGGAGGGGACTGAAATCCGAGAGCGAGTGCAACAAACATCATTGCCCCTCTCTGACCCCACCCCCCACATACAGCGTCACAAGCCAGTGACTGGGTTGCCTCACCCTGGTGAACACCTAAGGCTCTGCCCCTTAGATGTAACAGGTATGAACAGACCAAAACATTATGGCTCAAGAATAATAGCTCAAAGCCCCAGAGCCAATAATTCTAAGCGACCAAAAGAGAGCCAACCTTTCAGATGCACAGTTCAAAACACTGATGATCAGGATGCTCACAGAACTGGCTGATTTTAGTCACAAATTAGAGGAACAAATGAAGGCTAAACTAATTGAAATAAAGGGAAAGGCACAGGAAACCAATAGTGATGGAAAGGAAACTGGGACTCAAATCAAAGGAGTGGACCAGAAGGAAGAAAAAAATGACCAAACAGAAAAGAATGAAGAAACAAGAATTAAAAAAAAATAAGGAGAGGCTTGGGAACTTCCAGGACATCTTTAAACATTCCAACATCCGAATTATAGGGGTATCAGAAGGGGAAGAGGAAGAGCCATGAGTGGAAAACTTATTTGAACAAATAATAGAGGAGAACTTCCCCAATCTGGCAAAGGAAATAGACTTCCAGGAAATCCAGGAAGCTCAGAGAGTCCCAAAGAAGTTGGATCCAAGAAGAAACACACCAAGGCACATCATCATTACATTAGCCAAGATTAAAATGAAGGACAGAATCCTGGAAGCAGCAAGAGATAAAGGGACAGTCACCTACAAAGGAGTTCTCATCAGACTGTCAGCAGATTTCTCAAAAGAGACCTTACAGGCAAGAAGGGGCTGGAAAGAAGTATTCCAAGTCATGAAATCCAAAGACCTACATCCAAGATTGCTCTATCTAGCAAAGTTTTCATTTAGAATGGAAGGACAGATAAAATGCTTCTCAGATAAGATCAAATTAAAGGAGTTCATCATCACCAAGCCCTTATTATATAAAATGTTAAAGGGACTTACCTAAGAAAAAGAAGATAAAAAAGATGAACAGTGAAAGGACAGCAAACTCACAGTTATTAACAACCATGCTTAAAACAAAAGCAAACTAAGAGGACAGCTAGATCAGGAGCAGAACCATAGAAATGGAGATCACATGGAGGGCTAGCAACAGGGTAGTAGGAGGAGGAGAGGGGGGAGAAGGTACAGAGAATAAGTAGCATAGACGGTAGGTAGAAAATAGACAGGGGGGAGGGCAAGACTAGTATGGAAAATATAGAATCTAAAGAACTTGTGACACATGGACATAAACGAAAGGGGGGGAATGGTGGGGCAGGAGTGAGCAGGGTGGAGGAGAATGAAGGGGGAAAAATAGGACAACTGTAATGGCATAATCAATAAAATATATTTTTTAAAAAGAAAAATAATAAGGATAGTGAATATTGTATGACAGTTCCATTATGATCCCAAATCTTCTTTAAAATTTCTGATGGATGTACACAGTGTGGCTCATGTGAGTAATACGGGGACTGGAGACACAACTGCTATCAACCAGTTAAAGCTGCCACATGGAGTTTACAATGAACCTACCTGACAGCTTTCAAGTTATGCTATTTTGACATTTTTATTTAGAAGACTATTATAAGTTTTATACTTGGAGTAATTCCTTATTAATATTTGCATATCACACTATATAAAAACATATCATTCACATTTACCTAAAATAATATAGCAAGATACTAAGGTAACAATGCTCTCATTTAAAGAGACTGACAATAACTTTTAGTTACTAGCTAATAGTAATTTGTTTGGGAATTAAGAATATTAGAATAAAATTTGATTTCTTGGATAAAGCCAGAAAGTTTATCATTACCTCCTTTTCAAAAACCAAATTGATAAACATTCTTAAAGACTGCTTGCTTTCACTTTTTACCTGGAAGTCTATCCCAATATGTAAAAATGCTTTCATCTTCAGGTGTTAAAATGGAGGAGAACTATAACTATAAGCAGTACCATGTGCTTAAGATGAAAATAACAGAGGCCATCCTTTGGGGTTCCTTGATCATGAGAACTTCCCTCTCAGACTCTTAAAAATATTTTCAGTAGCAGAGAATTTAATGGACGAGGATGATTGGAACAAGCCTTGTCTGTTGTGGCAATTTATCCTTTGTCCAGCATGTGGCAATTTATCCTGCCAACACAAATCTTTTCTTTTACAGTGATCCAAACTCTCAGGCTCTTTATTAGGATGAGCAAAAAAAAAAAAAAGGAAAAAGAAATCTAAGTGTTGTGAACCAGCCTTCCCTGCTGTTATCACTAGAGAATGGGGAGAAAGAATAAAAGAGAAAAATCATAATTTTGCCCTGGAACATGATGGAGGTAATGAGGCATCAAGGCCACTTACTGCTGAAAACAAAATTGGCACATAAGCCCAGGAGATGCATGGTGGTGGGAAAGAGTTCTTTGTTTCAGAAACAGAGGGATGTCAACAAATTATAACCGTCCTGTTGTTTGGAGTGGCGATTCTAAGAGTAAAATGGATATTTCTGCCCCAAATACTGCACCCGTAGAGAACAGCGATTACTGCAGTGTCCACTAGCCTAGTGGCCGTAAGTGTTTTCAACTAACGTGAATGAATGATGAGGAAAGGGTGGAGGAATAGAAAGCAGCCCATAGGCGACAAAGAAGCAGCTTGGATTTGAGACCTGAATGTTTCTCACACATGATAAGCGGCCGGGAGACACTTGGAGATCCTTGTGGAGCTTCTAGAGAACCTCCAGGAAGCTCATTCCTGAGTCTAAGGAAGATAATACAGTGGCCTTGGGTCTGGTCCCCTTTGATGTCACATAAAAAGTCTATTCTTTGTTGAAGAGAAAAGATGAGCAAATGTTCTTATTCTGGAACTTTTTGTCCAATCACTTTAATACAAAAGTCATCATGGGAAAAAACTCCAAACTTCCTTGGGTGTCTTTATAATGTTTTTGTTGTTCTACATGTTCTGCTGGCATACAGGTTGGAGAGTTTTGGTTTTAGAATCATTTTTTTGGACCCGTT